TTAGAAGACATTTTTCGTAGGAAAATCGTACATTTATATTTTCCAATATTTTTTTCTTTTGCGAATAAATAACGATATGTTGGGTTTTTCTTGAGGTAAAATTTTAAAAATTTATTAATATATTTTAAAATTTTATCCATAATTTTATAAAATATAACCACTTAAAACGCATATATATATATATTAATATATAATTTATTTTGCTGTAGGACTATTGCATGTAGCGAATAGTACTTTATCAACGTTATCCGTATATCAGTTATATTTAAATAAATGCAGAGCAATAAAAATACGAAAAATATACACGAAACTAAAATAAAAAAACAATAAATTTTATATTTAAACATCAGAAGGAACGAAAGTGTTTTATTTTGTTTTATTTACGGTAATTTTACGAGAAAGCTAGTATAAGCCCTGCACAATTTCGTAGTTTTCACGCTCTATATCTTAAGAATCATTCGTTTTAGTAAACTTTGAATGGTAGCATTTTATTTTTACATTTGAGTAAATATCGGGAAAATCGTTTCCATATTCCTCTATTTAAAAATAAATTGGATTGTTTCAAAGATGCACAAAAAATGTTACAATAATTGAATTTACAAAAATATCGGATGTATTACGAACATGCTTTATAATATGAAAATGCATATTTCGGACAATGTTCTTTCGTAAGTAAGAATGAGAGAAATGGATTTAAAGAAATTGGGTCAAATGCATTTCGATTCAATTGGAGAATATTAATATATTCTAATTGCTCGCAGGCCACAGAAAATCATATTATAGACAGCAGCAGTTTCCCCGCCATTGCTATACAGAGACCTTAGGAATGCGAGGAATACTGTTTAATGTTGTCTCCATTATGAAGGTGTAAAATCTGAAGACGATGACCTTATTTCATCCTCTGTGGTGCTTCTCGCAAGCAGTGTGATACTGCTTTTCAGGGATGTCAAATTTGTAACATTTCCTCAATAAACCATACTTTATAAGTATCCCTACAAAATGACGCGTAAGATCCGAATAACGAGGTGGTCAGGCGGTAGGAAACGTACGAATAACTATTATCGGTAAAATGTCGCAGTAAGCAGCGTCCTATGTATTAAGGCGATGCCTTGAGTCAACCAGTTTCATGCAAGATGGTCCATCTTGCATGAAACTGGTTGACTCAAGGCATCGTCGTTGTTGAAGTTGGGATATGACGGGCTCGTTTGGACCTAGCTTCTTCGAAGATAGATTCCGATGAGTCTGGTTCAATGGGCGAATGTGCGAGGATAATGTGACTCTGAATGCACACATTAGACTGTAACAATACATTAACTTTCTCAGGGTACACATCACTGCCACGTCACTATACGTGCACTACTGAAACCTGCAACTTTATATATTATTGTCTGTTCAACAACAGCTGTGGTAACATCTTCAACGATTTATGAAGTAATAGGTTTGTCCTAGACCAAGGAAACTGGACTCCCAGACATCATTCTTCTGAGAGTTTATGGAGTCAACGGTCCTCGGCGTAAATTTCTTCGAAGGTGAAATTCTCGAAGTTCACTGCAGCGTTGTCGTTTTTANTATATAATTTATTTTGCTGTAGGACTATTGCATGTAGCGAATAGTACTTTATCAACGTTATCCGTATATCAGTTATATTTAAATAAATGCAGAGCAATAAAAATACGAAAAATATACACGAAACTAAAATAAAAAAACAATAAATTTTATATTTAAACATCAGAAGGAACGAAAGTGTTTTATTTTGTTTTATTTATGGTAATTTTACGAGAAAGCTAGTATAAGCCCTGCACAATTTCGTAGTTTTCACGCTCTATATCTTAAGAATCATTCGTTTTAGTAAACTTTGAATGGTAGCATTTTATTTTTACATTTGAGTAAATATCGGGAAAATCGTTTCCATATTCCTCTATTTAAAAATAAATTGGATTGTTTCAAAGATGCACAAAAAATGTTACAATAATTGAATTTACGAAAATATCGGATGTATTACGAACATGCTTTATAATATGAAAATGCATATTTCGGACAATGTTCTTTCGTAAGTAAGAATGAGAGAAATGGATTTATAGAAATTGGGTCGAATGCATTTCTATTCAATTGGAGAATATTAATATATTGTAATTGCTCGCAGGCCACAGAAAATCATCTTATAGACAGCAGTTTCCCCAACATTGCTATACAGAGACCTTAGCAATGCGAGGGATACTGTTTAATGTTGTCTCGATTCTGAAGGTGTAAAATCTGAAGACGATGATCTTATTTCATCCTCTGTGGTGCTTCTCGCAAGCAGTGTGATACTGCTTTTCAGGGCTGTCAAATTTGCAATATTTCCTCAATAAACCACACTTTATAAGTATCCCTACAAAATGACGCGTAAGATCCGAATAATGAGGTGGCCAGGCGGTAGGAAACGTACGAATAACTATTATCGGTGAAATATCGCAGCGTCCTATGTATTAAGGCGATGCCTTGAGTCAACCAGTTTCATGCAAGATGGACCATCTTGCATGAAACTGGTTGACTCAAGGCATCGTCGTTGTTGAGACCTAGATTCTTCGAAGATAGATTCCGATGAGTTTGGTTCAATGGGCGAATGGTCCGAGGATAATGTGACTCTGAATGCACACACCAGACTGTAACAATACATTAACTTTCTCAGGGTACACATCACTGCCACGTCACTACACGTGCGCTACTGAAACCTGCAACTTTATATATTGGCTGTTCAACAACAGCTGTGATAACATCTTCAACGATTTATGAAGTAATAGGTTTGTCCTAGACCAAGGAAACTGGACTCCCAGACATCATTCTTCTGAGAGTTTATGGAGTCAACGGTCCTCGGCGTAAATTTCTTCGAAGGTGAAATTCTCGAAGTTCACTGCAGCGTTGTCGTTTTTATCATACAACAGCTTCACAATAAATGCGTGTTCCAGCAAAATGGTGGCCATCGTAGATGATAAGGATGATATTCAGTAGTTTTGGTCACACTTAGGCTGCAACACATTTGCTTATGCAGCATGCTGCTTTTCGGTGCTTACAGATCCAAAAGAGCCGCTGGTGAGTTTTGACACAATGGTTTCTTAACCGTCTTAATTAAATTAAATGTCTTCCTTGTGTCTTGATATGTCACTATATCAAATTTAGTTAAATATTAATTGCTAAATATTTCTCTACACAGCGTTGAATAGGAGTAACTTAATTACGATTACCCAGTATTTTAAAATATGAAAAACATTGTAACTCAATTAGACCCAATAGATGATGCGTTGTACATCAGCACGATGTCTAAGATATAAACAGAATAGACTACAATAGTTTTAATGCTTAAACGAAACAACCTCTTTCTATAGTCTTTTAGGGATGGTAAAGTTAGATACAGTAGAGCATCGATTATCCGACTCAATTGGGGACTCAGGTTGGTCGGATAACTGGAAAAATCGGATAACCGAAAATAATGAAAAAAATACGTTATTAGTATAGTATATTAGGATATCCCATGTAATTAGTACAGAAACTAAAAGCCTTTTATTAATAAATCAAAAAGATATTTACAAGTGTAAAACCAGTTTAAGGATGAATACAAATGGTGACAAACTGGTGCGCGTTTTGACACGGGCACAGAGCCAGCCATACAGGATAAGTATGTACATAGTTGTATAAGTATATATTTACAGATGGTGACGTGAGTGTACGCTCGTACACGGGCACAAAGCCAGCCATGAGAAAATACATTATTAGTATATCGCTGTTAACCAACTTCGCGTTGAATTTTCATCGATGTTTAGCCTAACAAATTTTTTAAAAATAATAATCGTCGCTATTGTATCGTTAAAAATTATTTTTAAATTATTTTATTGCTCACAAAACAAACAACCACTCATAATTTGAAAATTAAGTCTCGTTTAAATACTGGCCTCTCTTCAATAGTCGAGCCGTTGATGCCAGCTAAAACACGCAAAAATTTAACAAAAATAATATTAAAGTATCCAAGACATAGCCAAATATTGTAGCGCTACATCACTAGCGGACATTTGAAATTTGCCGGCTAGAACGGTCGGTTAACCGATGTGACGGTTAATCGGGGGTCGGATAATCAATGCTCTACTGTAATTCTACACTATAATTCACAGATGGATATTATTAGGCTGCTTATGACTTTGTTGGCTGTTGTTAAAGTAAATGCAGCACTATAATTTCATAATATAACATTAGCACAGTACTATATCAAATATTTTTACTTGTGTTTTCGTTCATCAATATGCATAAAATCTGTTATCTAGAAATAGTACTTAACATCTTCCTGGAAGTCTGTGAATAGCACAAACTATAGTAGAACACCGATTATCCGACCCCCTATTAACTGAGGTGCCGCATTATCCGGAACGAACCTATAAGTGAATACACACAATTCTTATACTGTAATTCATAAAAGAAAATTTAAAACGATAACACTTATTACAAAACGATTTGTTTCTATTACCTTTTATCACTTAACTTCAATGTGAGACAAATCATTCATATTAAAACGTTACTACAATAATAAATATTTTTAAAGCTATTGTATGCGTATTATTTGTATAATATACGAGAACATATTTACGCCATTTATGATTAAATTCACTAAGATGCCACAACCGATTTGGATAATCGGATTCTACTGTGTTTTAAAGATTTGGTTTTATTTGTTTATGTGCACATGAACGATCTGCTGAGGGAAACTATTATGGAAAACTGGCACCTACCTAGGTGTTACAAACGTGAAGAAAATCTGGAAAACTCCACATGATCAGCTCGTTGGCCAGGCGCGAACCCAAGATTAGTGGTTTTATCCACTCGGCCACTGGTGGATTGTTTAGACATTTAGATATCATTTAGAAGCGAACAGATGCATGTTTTATGAAAAAATTACTGTAATTAAGTATTTGAATATAATTAAATAAAAATTTTATTTTCTATTTTACATTAAATAAAGTATTTTTCCGTGGTTATTATTTTATAATTTTACATTTTGCATTTCTTCTTCATCTTTGGGAGGTAGATTATTATTTTCTACTATTACAGAGGTAATAGGAACATTTTTATCATCGCATAATTTTGATACGAATGCTGCAACGTAGCAGTCGCCTACCGCGTTACCAATTGTTGATAATCGATCCCTGTACAGTACAAAAAAAAAGATGATTATAATAATCGAGAAACCTTTAGAATTATTAATCAAATTAATTTAGACAAAGCTACTTACGTAATCCAAAATATTGATAATATTAATGAGAGATCGCTTGTAGATTCCACGTTAACTACTGCTAGACATGTTAAAATAAATACAGGGCTCCCCGTTGCTGGCATGGCTGGAGATGCAATAGCTAACAATACTACCGTCAAACTGGATAAAATTAAAATATATTTATATACGTTATATATACGAGAATATTTTAAATGACAGAAAAATAAAGTCAATATTACCAAAGCACCAAAGAACTGACGCCATTAACTGAAACACCTTCTATTTGTGCAAGAAATATTGTCACGATTGTTAGGTCGATGCACACGCCCTGCATGTTTACAACCATTCCTAAAGGAAGGATAAATCTAGAGATATTTCGATTCAATTTGTTATCTTCTTCCATACAACGAAGAGTAATGGGAAATGTGGCTAAACTGGAAAATATATATATATATAAATATTGTACATTCTTACTTAGGTTCTTTAAATGTTTTAAGAATTGAATATATTCATTTACCTAGAAGCAGTACCAAATGATGTCAAGAAAACTGGAAGAATGCTGGAGATGAATAAAAATGGATTCCGCCTCACTATTAGAATATATAGAAAGGGTAAGAAAATAAATTGATGAATGACTAAACCCATGATTTCAGTTAATATAAGCCATCCTAATTGGTATATTAAATTCAAAACTGATTCTGTCTTCAGTCCTTCTTGAAACATCAAGAAAAACATTCCAATTGGAAGAATTCTGAAAATAAGTATTTGATTTTGAAATTTTTGAGACGTTTCATAAAAATCTTCTTATTTTTTTAGAATCTTACTTGACAAAATAGTGTACTATCTTCATTATAATTGATTTAAACTGTTCAACTATAGATCTGAATTGGGCCACTTCGTCTTTAAGCGAGGCCATTGCCAGTCCCATTATTAAAGACACAATCAATAAACCTAAAATTTATAGTTTGATCATTCTAGTTAATTGATAAAATGTTAATTTTGATATTAAATAATAATTAATTAAAAATTCTAAGGGGTGTCATAGAAGTTTACCGATAAAATTTGTTTGTTCTTTCACTTGAAGACTTTTACTGGTAGAAATGCTCCTGTTTGTAGATGAAGAATTTATGCCATTTGAAACTAACTCGGTTGTGGCTGTATATTCCTAAGAAAAAATATAATATTCGATTACGTTAAAAATTAAAAAAAATGAATATAAGAAAAATAAGAAGCAAAAACTAACCTGAGAAAAAGTAGCTTTGATAATATTGTCAGGGATGGCATTTCTAAATTAAAAGGTTTTATATTGTATTAGTGATTTGCTTAACTTTTTGGAATATTTATTCTAATTTCTATCTAATTATATAATCACTGACTATTCTAGTATAATGAAATTATTTATAGGAATAAAATTATAAATAAATATACAACAATAGAACTGAAATTTAAAACAGAAGCAACGAATTCCAGTTTACTGCTCAAATACTGTTATTTAATTCTAAAATAGATCATAAAAAAACTAATTATTTTTAATTTTTAATAAAGAATAATTATTTTTTAATTCACTTTATTAATAAATATAATAAATTAATACAATAAACTAAATTTAATCTGCGTACAAAATCCCATTTGTTAACATAATTTTCTATTAAGCATTAAATTATTATCTTTATGCAGTTAAATTCTCGAATATATTCTCAACTTCTACATAATTCTCATAATGAAATTTTTAATATATTAGCAAATAGTTGAATATCCTATGTTGCGTGAGAAATACAATTATTGCATTAATTTGAAAGACGTTAAGTGTTCGAAATTACTCGTTACTGACATAATACACGTCATGAATTTTACATATCTCATATTATACTCACATATTACATCACTAATTATCATCATATATAGAAAGTATCGACGTAATTCGTGATTATTCATAGCATCATCGATTTGTATGTATTATACGTGATGTCAAGTATTATCTACACTCTTCAATAATGTGAGGGTAATCGGTTAGGTAATATCTGACGTCAAAAATGCTACCTCCAATGACAGTGCCTCTACTTTTGTTGTTTACACGTTATTTTGTTGGCTATATTTGTCTACTGTATTTTCACAATGTGTCGAAAGCATGTATTTTATAACTGAATTTTTGTTGCATTTGCTCAACACAATATCAAAATTTATAAAGAAAGAAACAAACATTCAGAAATGTATAGAAAAGATGTGTAAGGAATTTAATATCTATATTTGCATAGTGTTTATACATTATTTTTTAAAATAAATATTCCCAGTTTGTTAATAAAATATATAAAAAATTCAAATTTATTTTATTTATTTCAACATTTTTATTGGATCATTAAATTGGAATTTAATTAAAGCACTTCATTGGATTGGCTTGGTGGAGGCACTCTTCTCTTCCTTGGTGGATCGCCTAATCCAATCCAATCTTCAAGTTCTCACTCCTTTATTTTTTCCATTAAAAATTGAAAAAATTGTGAAATAATATCAAATATTACTTATTTGAAATAATTTATGATAAAATTGATATTGCCATATATTCTGAACTATATTTTAGTGCACTCGCGAGCAATCCGCGGTCTCAAGGAGTTTGGCAACGTAATTTCATTTTCCTGTTTTCTGTCTCGTGCGTTACCTAACTCTAATTATGGAAGCGTAGTTCTTGCAGGATAAGGCCACATCTCAAACAGTAAACGAGGTTTTGCATTTTTAACATGCTATTCAAAGAGAGACCGATTTCTCATAGCTATCCAGGAAAATTCATGCCTCCAGACATTAATCCATGCGATTATTCTCTGTGGGGCTTCTTAAAAAATGAACTATTCAGGATATCACGTAATGGGCCTTTAAGACTTGAGGTTTATTTGGTTATGGCAACACAACTCGTGAGCGATCTGCTGAGGGGAGATACATGCCGGAAGGACTTTCTGTGAAAAACTGACCCCTATTTGGGTATTACTAACGTAAAGAAAACCCGGAAAACTCCACATGGCCAGTTGGCGAGGCGCAAACTCACGACCAAACTATCAGTGTGCGGTGGTTTTATCTTCTCGAGCACTGGTGGAACTTGAGTTCGCATAATTTAAGTTTTTCAGACTATTATACCAGAAATAAGCAATTGTATTATCAAAAATTTGTGTGTGATTACGCGAATTGGTATTTCACAATTGAACACCTCATGTGTCAACATTTTATATATTTGTAAATAAGTCTATGGATTAAATCCTAATTTATAGAGCATCGATTTATAAAAAAACTGGTATTGTTTAGCTTGATTTGTTCAGGAGATATCGAGAATTAAAATTCCAACTTTTAGCTAGGATATCCTGTAGGACTGACTATACGGGTATATACTTTTTCACTTTTGGCTTTTTTCGCTCTGCGATCACTAAGAAGGCGTTTTTTGCTTACCAATTGTAAGTTTGGTACAGACTGCCTATAAAATATTATATATCTGGGGAGTTTTCCATCAAAATTAGATCCTAGGTCCCCAGAACAGTAGGCTGGCATGTTAACCGATTTGGCCATACGCTCATAAAAATTTAAGATCTGAACTAAAAATTTTAATATTATTACTAACCTTTACTAAAAGTGTAATAAAACTGTACATTAAATTTTTCTTTTTATAGCGAATGCATCACTACGAATGCATTTTAATACGTCTTAAAATATATATTTTGTATATTATTTAATCATTTCATACAGTAATCAACAAATAAAGTTGTCCATTAAATCTTGCATTTCGTACTTATTACGATGAAAATATTGTACGTTGATTTTATTCTTAAGTAAACATAAACAACAAACCGGTTTCTCTATTCTGATTCATCACGTTTGGGATTATTCCAATTATATGACAACAAAAATAATGAAATAACTTTATATCCTAATATATTTTTGAATTCTGCTAATTCGAATTTTTATTACGAAACAATTTGCAGATCTAGACATTCAATACACCCAAACCGAAAAGTCTACCAGTGGTCGAGTGGTAATTGTTTAAGGATTTGTAACTGATCAATGGACTGGCCACGTGGAGTTTTCCTGGTTTTCTTTGTGTGTTTAACACCCAAATAGGAACTAGTTTCCCATAGAAAGTCCTCCCAGAAGACATCCCTACTTGGCAGATCGCTCAAGTGTTACGTTACTTTATTCTATCAATCCATTCCAAACCGAAAAATGAGGTTTTTTTCTTTAGGAACATAAAAAATAATAAAAATTAATAAATTAATACTATGAAATTTTGTTATAATCTTTGACATTTATCTATAATTTCCTAGGTACTAAAATAATATATTCTAATGGCATGCAAACTAGTAATGTATATTTTATTCTCATCTTTTCACTAGTCAAGTGAATGTTGAATGTTCTTCGTCACGAATATCAGCTTAATGTTTATTATGGTTGTATTTTAAAATATTTCAAAATTTTCAATAAAATATGCGTATTGTTTCAGAGATTATTATTTGCAAAAATAATTTATTTATTTTTAATCAAACAACTTTTACTCAGACAATTTTTCTAACTTCTATTTTTTCATTTCTTGATAGTTATTGTTTATTCAATACATTAAAAAGAGTCAATATAAATATGTAAAGTAAATTTAAGTAGGCCTAAAAAGCATTTATAAATGTATCCGCTACATAAGATGCTTATTTATTTTAGAAAATAGTTAAGAATATCTATGTTATGTAGACACTTTCCAGTGTAATTTCTATTAACACGCATTTTAGAAATTAACGCAAATATATCAAATTTTTGTACTATTGAATTCTCTAATGAATGAATTTTTTTAAAAAAATTATAAACTATGAACCTAAATAAGGCCCGATTTCCCATAGAAAGTGCATCTGGGAAACATTGCAGATCGCCCTTGAGTTACTTTATCCCATCAAAGTAAATCTTAAACGTTAAATTAATTTTGAAATTGCCAAAAAATAAAATATTTAAATAATTTTTCAAAATTTGTGTAGAATATAACATTTTATAAAGGTATTAAATTGACTTTATAAAAAGTTTTGATCTACTAAGAATTCTCTTTCTTAACATACCGTACTTTCTGATAGGCCCTATTTAAAAAACACACATCTGTGGAGGGTTTGGAGATAGGAAAAAAAGCATAGGAATATGTCACATAAAGTAATTTTGGAGGGCTATATCTCGCGAACGGTCACATATAGAGGTATGGTTCCTTTGACTTTTTTGTTCCTACGAGTATGCTCTACAGTTCTGTTAAGGTCCCAAACGTATGATTCAGAGCTTGAATTGAGCCTGAATACTTGCACTTAATTTCTAGAATTGTAGATTCTTGCCTGTACATGATATTTGCAACTAGCTGAGAGAGAATGCGGATCGATCTTTTCTCTAATTAATAAACGGTATCAGTGATGATACGTCCGAACAAACGTTAAATGCAAACACAAATAGCCAACTCATCACAGTTAAGTCATTTCCGCTTTTGAAATGATGAGACAGCATTTTCTTAAACAATTTGAGAAATAATGAATATTAAAATACTTGGCAACAACATCTTTCCTTAATGATTAAGAAGTACTATCTCGTCTTTTACAAACTGGAAATGATTTCGTCGGTTTCTTCACACTGACGTAATTTGCATTATCTTGCGTAATTTAGAATCTCATTTCTATAATCGAACTAATTCTGCTTCCAAGCTTCGTTGCTCTGGAGGACCCGGATTCGAGTCGAGGTCATCTCAGAAATTTTTATGGAGTTGACCCGGATATGCGGGAGGTTATACTTTAACATCGAGCCTTCCTCTCACGGGCCTTGCCAAACCCATAATGAGTATGAGAAAGGTCATCCGCAGGACGGAATTTAAAAATTTTTTTTATTAAAAATTTAATTGAGAGTTAAAATTTAAATTTATCGTTTCCCTATTTAAATAATTGATCCACTAGAATATTTTTAAAACGTATATTTATACCCGAGTTTATACAAAACAACAGAAACAAACTTAATTGCTGGAAGTATTTTGATTTCCTTCTTTAATTATCTAATGTGAATTTTGCAAGCAAGTTTTGATGCAAAATTATTACTTTTGAATATATTTTTTTCAGTCGACGATTATCCAATAGGGGCACTGTGCGCGCGCTTAGGGCCTCGTCGTATCGCGGGGCCTCTAAAGTTAGATAGCAAAAAGATATGTATCTAAAATTTAGTGAACGTTTAAAAAGTGTATATTATAAAGAAAAAATTGTTATTATTTAGTGTTTTTATTGTCTTTTTAATATAAAAAAAGACATTTTTTACGTAAAGGGTTTTACAACAAAATTAAGCCCAGGGCCTCAAGGAACATAATCCACTAATTATTTTTTAGATAATAAAATTTTTGGATTCATAAACATACGCAAACATTTAATATTAGTGTGTTTCATGTTATTTAAATGTAAAAAATAGTTAAGAAAACAATGTCCATGTCACGAAGAAACTAAAACATTAAATTGAAAAACGAGTTTAGACAATTTGAATTGCATACAAAACCCTTATGTTGCAATATTTTATTTTATTTATTTATTTTTTTAATATTTAAAATGGATGACATTCCCAGAAAACATTATCTTTATCAGAAATCAACTGTAATCTATATTTTAAAATTTTGTAAGTGGTTTATTGTCTATATTTTAGCTCTTATTTGAAAATAAAATATCCATCATTTTACACGAATTTCGAAACGCATGTTTTATGCATATCTGGATAGAAATTGCATGCATAAAATAATACTTATTTAGATTAGCTGAATGAATCAAAATGGAACAATCGTAAAGGCTCATAAGGGTGCACAATAAACCGGATCTTCCATTCTTTAGTCTGGAAGTGGATTCTTCGCTCGGATTTTAATTTGCAAAACTTGCCGTACTTTGCTAATGTTATAGGAATTTATGTCAAATACTACGGATTATATGTAATTAAACTATAGAATCTTCTAGTTAAATAATACATGTGGCAAATAAATTGCATTTCTAAGTGATACTATAGAAGCTTGGATTTATAGGCAGTTATAAACATGAAAACCTATGAAAATTACGGAATTTTCATAGATTTTTAAGGTCTAGACTGGATTTAATCCATGTTCCTTTCATGAGCACTAGCTAAATTATGATTCTGTGTAGTTAATACTGCATTAGTTCAAATCTAATCACTATAAATCATGTAATACTTATTTTTATGTTGTGTGGTTTCAATTTTTTCAATGTGTTTGATTTTAAATGGAGTTTCATATATTGCTGCACACACTTAATTGTTATTTAAAATTAATTTATAATTAATTATAAATTATTTATTATAAAAAATATTTTAAATTTTCTACCAAATTATACATTTTCTGATCATAATGTAGATATATTTTGTGCATAACAATGGAATAATGTAAACTTATTTTTATTTAATGCTGTTCGTTTTATCAACTTTATCCTTATCAATATTAAAACTTATCCATGCAAATAAATATATATAATAAAAATATATTTTGTCCTGTAATATTTACCAAAAAAAATAATAATTGGGTTAAGGAGGGTCTATTTAGTGTTATTGTATTGTTATTTATAGCTCTGTTTTTATATTTTTTGGGTCACTGCCAATTATTATAGGAAAAAGATATTTCAGCAATAACAATTTATAAAACTTTTAAGCAAATTTTCAAGATAAAATTTCTATTTTAACCTATTGTATCGATTGATTAAAAGGCTAAACTAATTGTCATCCTGTCTGATTTCCAAAGAGGTTTAAATGGACAAATGAGACGGGATTTATTCCGAATCATGAAGAATCAACCCATTCTATACTTGTAATTAATGGCAGGAAAAGTCAAATAAGATTCAAAACAACAGTATTAAAACACTCGCGTGAAAAAATTTCTGTTTAATGAAAATACAGGAAATATTTTAGACATCGAAGTAAATTGTTTGAAAGCCACTCAATTAAAATAATAATAATAATAAAGAATTGAAAAAATCAAATTAAATCTTTAATATTTGCAAATACGTACAGACATTCGAACAAATTAATATATTTTTACGTAATATAGATACAAATATTTATTGTACAAATATTGATTTATACAATTTGAAAAAATCGTAAAATAATTTATTCAATTCAATCTTAGACTTGGATATTTATAAAGGAAATTACATATGTATTTATGAGTTTATAACTACATATAAACATATGTAATTTCGTTTACAAATTTTCAAAAATTTAATTTAATTAGTCTAAAGTAACAATATGAAATGCCTGTATATATATATGAATATTTTTGTATTTAAAATAAATTAAGCGAGTAAAGTCATTAACTCAATAATGAAACTTGAAAAATTACAAAATTATTTAGTATAAAAGCATATTTTAGAATATAAATTCAGGAAAATGTTGAGCATTATACAAATGTAGAACAGAATATTAGTAATGCGCAGTAAGATTAAGGAGGCTCACCGTCTTAAGGACTTAATATTACTGCACATTACTAATATTCTGTTCTACATATAGATTGATAGAATAAAGCAACGCAACACATGAGTTATCTGCAATATTTGCCAAAGGGATGCTTTCCGGGAGGACTTTCTGCGAGGTCCTATTTAGGTGTTAGATACGTGAAGAAAACTCAGAAAACTCCGCGTAGCTAGTCCATTGCTCACGGACGAATCCGAAACCCCCGCAAAGGTTTTATCCATTGATGGACATTAATTGGATATACCCAAATGTTAATACTTTCCTGGGCTATTATATAACTTTTGAATTCTTTTTTAATTGAAATTAAATGTATTCGGTGGAATTTAGAACTGACGATTAAGGAGGACATTTAACATCTTTTATTTAGCCAAGTTTTGACTCCTTTATACTTCAACCCCTTGTTTTTTTGAGGAAAAATAAGGATTTTCGGTTAATATGAGCAGAAAATATTTTTCAGTAATATCCCCATACAAATCAACAGTAAGAGTTTTGTAATTGGGCAAAAATAGTCTCCTGATTTAATTCATCAGAAATGTTTATTTGACATAATGCATTTTCAATTAATATTAAAAAATATATTTATTGCATATATCACTTAAGCATATAAAAACTTAATGAGAAAATGAGAATGAATATTATATAATTATTAAAATTAAAAAAAAATTAGAATTTTAAGAAATGTTTTGTTGTTTTATAAAAATACTAGCTGCGTGTACACTACCTAGCGGTGCTCGAGGTTTTAAGGGGTAGAGGATTAGTGAGATTGAGTTGGTTTAGGATGATAAAAACAATGGTTTAGTAACTAAAATGTACTGTACATTTATTGATTTATTATCTACGATAATGAAACTGAAAAACACAAAAAATTGCTCGGGCTTAAGTTAAGAGGAGTGGTATTTTGAAGTGATTGGAAGTGGAAACTCCACAGTACTTTTTCTAGGAACCTAATTTGGTGCGGATATATCGAACAGTATATATCCGCACCTTTACCTAACGAACATACATATTTTAATTAATTAATTAACATTTATATAGGCCTATATATATATATTCTGTAGATTTTATCAGTAAAGCATCTCCCATTATTATATCGTTAAGAAATAACCATTCCTAAATGAAAGGCAAGAAAAATCCAAACAAGAACTCTTATGTATAATTTTCACACATTCGAAGTATGTAACTATCTGTATAAAATGGCGATTTTTTTCAAAATACTAATAATATGACTATTTTGCTATAATTAAAAGGTTTTTTTCGTCAAGATCTCGTCCAATTAATAAATAATGAAATGATGTATATATTTAACCAATAAATATTCAGAGAAATATGACAAACCTCAGCATATCCAAGAAGGAATCTAAGATCTGACTTTTCTTTCCAGCATCTTCCACTCGACTTTTTGGTTTATCCAGAGCTTTTTCTCCGGGCTTAAGAAGATGAGCTAAAGTTAATCCCAAAATACTAGCAAAGAGCGAGAGTAAAACGATGAACAAAACGGTGTAAGAAATTAATTTTCTATTTTCCGATTTACCCAAAGAAGTGATACCTGAAATAACGACAAGATTGCATGAAACGTCTCCTTTATTGTGAGGTAGGTAGGCAATTGTAAGTAAATAGATAGTTAGGATTGATAGTAGTTAATACTTCTAAACTAAATAATACAGTAACTTACCTAAAATAATACTGCAAGGAAGCATGGGCAAAATGATCATGCGAAAAGCTCTAATCACTAACATTCCCGGAAAACCGATTAATTGCTTTTCTTGCTCGTTTAAGTTAAACTGACGGAAAACCAGGCCAAGAGCGAATCCGGAAATTGTTGTTACAATTATTAAAACGGATATCCAATTCTGCTTCAAGCATTCCACTTTCTAGGAAATTTCAAAGAAAAAAAAGAAAAGGTGCATTGAATGAATGGATAAATGAATGAATGTCAAGAATAAAAATAGTATGTATATATTAAAATTACTATTTTTCTTAGTACAGCTGCACGTGTTTTCAAAATGAATCGAACTAAAAAAAATTCTTTTAAATTCGGAACAAATACGTTTTATTCAGTTAAAATGTAAATAAATGTAAAGAATTTCGTCATCTATAATTATTTTATATTTCATTATAATCCCAAAAAATTCAACTTAAAAAAATAGCTTAAAATTTTTTAAATAAAAATGCATATATTTGTTACTATTATTTTTTAAATTTAAAAGCATTATTTAATAGTAATTTTAAAAAAAAAAAGCGCAAAAATTTATAATCTAATTATTATTTTTTATCCATAAAGTAAGAAACACATAGATCTTATCGGGAGTGAAATTATAATAAAATTGATAAAATATATTAAACTATATAAAAAGCTCACCTTGAGACAACATTTTTGATCACTCTTCATTTTACTATTAAATTAATATCTTGAATTTTTTTGCTTTTATAACCGAGATCACGTGAATAACTGGTTATATTGACTAAGGAAATTGAGATGAGTAATATTGTTCCCGTAGTATATGATATTTCCTATACAGAAATTCGATTGAATGGTTGTAACGCTTGTGAAGTTTGAAACAAAACGGAGAGAAAGATGACGATTTCACCTAATTTATTCATTCGAGACGAGGAAAGTCATTATACGTATTTTGACCCTCAAAACGTAAATTTTCTTCTGTATTTTTCGCCCATTTCCTAAAAACGTTTTCCCTTTGGTATTCCACGAAAAATTTTCATATACATTTAAGAACCGGTTAACACGATTAATCATTGTTTATATTTTCTGATATGCCTTATAACTGGAAAACAATTACTAATAATGATATAACTTATCTGCTATCCATACTTTATGATATCATTATTGCCAAACTGTATTTAAATATAATACTTTGGAATTAATAATCTTGATTTTGGTGTTTTCTATAAATTGACACGTGGATTTTTCTCTCCCCCTTTTCTTTTTATATAAATTGAATTGCGGTTTTAATAAAGTTCTATTTTTAATCTGTTTTATAACAATGCACAATATGAAAATCTATTTTAAAATACGAATAAATTTAATATTATAATTAAATATATTGCACATTACTGTATACTTTTNTTCTTGATAGTTATTGTTTATTCAATACATTAAAAAGAGTCAATATAAATATGTAAAGTAAATTTAAGTAGGCCTAAAAAGCATTTATAAATGTATCCGCTACATAAGATGCTTATTTATTTTAGAAAATAGTTAAGAATATCTATGTTATGTAGACACTTTCCAGTGTAATTTCTATTAACACGCATTTTAGAAATTAACGCAAATATATCAAATTTTTGTACTATTGAATTCTCTAATGAATGAATTTTTTAAAAAAAATTATAAACTATGAACCTAAATAAGGCCCGATTTCCCATAGAAAGTGCATCTGGGAAACATTGCAGATCGCCCTTGAGTTACTTTATCCCATCAAAGTAAATCTTAAACGTTAAATTAATTTTGAAATTGCCAAAAAATAAAATATTTAAATAATTTTTCAAAATTTGTGTAGAATATAACATTTTATAAAGGTATTAAATTGACTTTATAAAAAGTTTTGATCTACTAAGAATTCTCTTTCTTAACATACCGTACTTTCTGATAGGCCCTATTTAAAAAACACACATCTGTGGAGGGTTTGGAGATAGGAAAAAAAGCATAGGAATATGTCACATAAAGTAATTTTGGAGGGCTATATCTCGCGAACGGTCACATATAGAGGTATGGTTCCTTTGACTTTTTTGTTCCTACGAGTATGCTCTACAGTTCTGTTAAGGTCCCAAACGTATGATTCAGAGCTTGAATTGAGCCTGAATACTTGCACTTAATTTCTAGAATTGTAGATTCTTGCCTGTACATGATATTTGCAACTAGCTGAGAGAGAATGCGGATCGATCTTTTCTCTAATTAATAAACGGTATCAGTGATGATACGTCCGAACAAACGTTAAATGCAAACACAAATAGCCAACTCATCACAGTTAAGTCATTTCCGCTTTTGAAATGATGAGACAGCATTTTCTTAAACAATTTGAGAAATAATGAATATTAAAATACTTGGCAACAACATCTTTCCTTAATGATTAAGAAGTATTATCTCGTCTTTTACAAACTGGAAATGATTTCGTCGGTTTCTTCACACTGACGTAATTTGCATTATCTTGCGTAATTTAGAATCTCATTTCTATAATCGAACTAATTCTGCTTCCAAGCTTCGTTGCTCTGGAGGACCCGGATTCGAGTCGAGGTCATCTCAGAAATTTTTATGGAGTTGACCCGGATATGCGGGAGGTTATACTTTAACATCGAGCCTTCCTCTCACGGGCCTTGCCAAACCCATAATGAGTATGAGAAAGGTCATCCGCAGGACGGAATTTAAAAATTTTTTTTATTAAAAATTTAATTGAGAGTTAAAATTTAAATTTATCGTTTCCCTATTTAAATAATTGATCCACTAGAATATTTTTAAAACGTATATTTATACCCGAGTTTATACAAAACAACAGAAACAAACTTAATTGCTGGAAGTATTTTGATTTCCTTCTTTAATTATCTAATGTGAATTTTGCAAGCAAGTTTTGATGCAAAATTATTACTTTTGAATATATTTTTTTCAGTCGACGATTATCCAATAGGAGCACTGTGCGCGCGCTTAGGGCCTCGTCGTATCGCGGGGCCTCTAAAGTTAGATAGCAAAAAGATATGTATCTAAAATTTAGTGAACGTTTAAAAAGTGTATATTATAAAGAAAAAATTGTTATTATTTAGTGTTTTTATTGTCTTTTTAATATAAAAAAAGACATTTTTTACGTAAAGGGTTTTACAACAAAATTAAGCCCAGGGCCTCAAGGAACATAATCCACTAATTATTTTTTAGATAATAAAATTTTTGGATTCATAAACATACGCAAACATTTAATATTAGTGTGTTTCATGTTATTTAAATGTAAAAAATAGTTAAGAAAACAATGTCCATGTCACGAAGAAACTAAAACATTAAATTGAAAAACGAGTTTAGACAATTTGAATTGCATACAAAACCCTTATGTTGCAATATTTTATTTTATTTATTTATTTTTTTAATATTTAAAATGGATGACATTCCCAGAAAACATTATCTTTATCAGAAATCAACTGTAATCTATATTTTAAAATTTTGTAAGTGGTTTATTGTCTATATTTTAGCTCTTATTTGAAAATAAAATATCCATCATTTTACACGAATTTCGAAACGCATGTTTTATGCATATCTGGATAGAAATTGCATGCATAAAATAATACTTATTTAGATTAGCTGAATGAATCAAAATGGAACAATCGTAAAGGCTCATAAGGGTGCACAATAAACCGGATCTTCCATTCTTTAGTCTGGAAGTGGATTCTTCGCTCGGATTTTAATTTGCAAAACTTGCCGTACTTTGCTAATGTTATAGGAATTTATGTCAAATACTACGGATTATATGTAATTAAACTATAGAATCTTCTAGTTAAATAATACATGTGGCAAATAAATTGCATTTCTAAGTGATACTATAGAAGCTTGGATTTATAGGCAGTTATAAACATGAAAACCTATGAAAATTACGGAATTTTCATAGATTTTTAAGGTCTAGACTGGATTTAATCCATGTTCCTTTCATGAGCACTAGCTAAATTATGATTCTGTGTAGTTAATACTGCATTAGTTCAAATCTAATCACTATAAATCATGTAATACTTATTTTTATGTTGTGTGGTTTCAATTTTTTCAATGTGTTTGATTTTAAATGGAGTTTCATATATTGCTGCACACACTTAATTGTTATTTAAAATTAATTTATAATTAATTATAAATTATTTATTATAAAAAATATTTTAAATTTTCTACCAAATTATACATTTTCTGATCATAATGTAGATATATTTTGTGCATAACAATGGAATAATGTAAACTTATTTTTATTTAATGCTGTTCGTTTTATCAACTTTATCCTTATCAATATTAAAACTTATCCATGCAAATAAATATATATAATAAAAATATATTTTGTCCTGTAATATTTACCAAAAAAAATAATAATTGGGTTAAGGAGGGTCTATTTAGTGTTATTGTATTGTTATTTATAGCTCTGTTTTTATATTTTTTGGGTCACTGCCAATTATTATAGGAAAAAGATATTTCAGCAATAACAATTTATAAAACTTTTAAGCAAATTTTCAAGATAAAATTTCTATTTTAACCTATTGTATCGATTGATTAAAAGGCTAAACTAATTGTCATCCTGTCTGATTTCCAAAGAGGTTTAAATGGACAAATGAGACGGGATTTATTCCGAATCATGAAGAATCAACCCATTCTATACTTGTAATTAATGGCAGGAAAAGTCAAATAAGATTCAAAACAACAGTATTAAAACACTCGCGTGAAAAAATTTCTGTTTAATGAAAATACAGGAAATATTTTAGACATCGAAGTAAATTGTTTGAAAGCCACTCAATTAAAATAATAATAATAATAAAGAATTGAAAAAATCAAATTAAATCTTTAATATTTGCAAATACGTACAGACATTCGAACAAATTAATATATTTTTACGTAATATAGATACAAATATTTATTGTACAAATATTGATTTATACAATTTGAAAAAATCGTAAAATAATTTATTCAATTCAATCTTAGACTTGGATATTTATAAAGGAAATTACATATGTATTTATGAGTTTATAACTACATATAAACATATGTAATTTCGTTTACAAATTTTCAAAAATTTAATTTAATTAGTCTAAAGTAACAATATGAAATGCCTGTATATATATATGAATATTTTTGTATTTAAAATAAATTAAGCGAGTAAAGTCATTAACTCAATAATGAAACTTGAAAAATTACAAAATTATTTAGTATAAAAGCATATTTTAGAATATAAATTCAGGAAAATGTTGAGCATTATACAAATGTAGAACAGAATATTAGTAATGCGCAGTAAGATTAAGGAGGCTCACCGTCTTAAGGACTTAATATTACTGCACATTACTAATATTCTGTTCTACATATAGATTGATAGAATAAAGCAAAAAATTGCTAATTAAATTCTGTAATTATAGAACTTTATTAGGATAGTTAACAAACAACACAACCCAAACTTAAAAGCATATTTTAGAATATAAATTCAGGAAAATGTTGAGCATTATACAAATGTAGAACAGAATATTAGTAATGCGCAGTAAGATTAAGGAGGCTCACCGTCTTAAGGACTTAATATTACTGCACATTACTAATATTCTGTTCTACATATAGATTGATAGAATAAAGCAACGCAACACATGAGTTATCTGCAATATTTGCCAAAGGGATGCTTTCCGGGAGGACTTTCTGCGAGGTCCTATTTAGGTGTTAGATACGTGAAGAAAACTCAGAAAACTCCGCGTAGCTAGTCCATTGCTCACGGACGAATCCGAAACCCCCGCAAAGGTTTTATCCATTGATGGACATTAATTGGATATACCCAAATGTTAATACTTTCCTGGGCTATTATATAACTTTTGAATTCTTTTTTAATTGAAATTAAATGTATTCGGTGGAATTTAGAACTGACGATTAAGGAGGACATTTAACATCTTTTATTTAGCCAAGTTTTGACTCCTTTATACTTCAACCCCTTGTTTTTTTGAGGAAAAATAAGGATTTTCGGTTAATATGAGCAGAAAATATTTTTCAGTAATATCCCCATACAAATCAACAGTAAGAGTTTTGTAATTGGGCAAAAATAGTCTCCTGATTTAATTCATCAGAAATGTTTATTTGACATAATGCATTTTCAATTAATATTAAAAAATATATTTATTGCATATATCACTTAAGCATATAAAAACTTAATGAGAAAATGAGAATGAATATTATATAATTATTAAAATTAAAAAAAAATTAGAATTTTAAGAAATGTTTTGTTGTTTTATAAAAATACTAGCTGCGTGTACACTACCTAGCGGTGCTCGAGGTTTTAAGGGGTAGAGGATTAGTGAGATTGAGTTGGTTTAGGATGATAAAAACAATGGTTTAGTAACTAAAATGTACTGTACATTTATTGATTTATTATCTACGATAATGAAACTGAAAAACACAAAAAATTGCTCGGGCTTAAGTTAAGAGGAGTGGTATTTTGAAGTGATTGGAAGTGGAAACTCCACAGTACTTTTTCTAGGAACCTAATTTGGTGCGGATATATCGAACAGTATATATCCGCACCTTTACCTAACGAACATACATATTTTAATTAATTAATTAACATTTATATAGGCCTATATATATATATTCTGTAGATTTTATCAGTAAAGCATCTCCCATTATTATATCGTTAAGAAATAACCATTCCTAAATGAAAGGCAAGAAAAATCCAAACAAGAACTCTTATGTATAATTTTCACACATTCGAAGTATGTAACTATCTGTATAAAATGGCGATTTTTTTCAAAATACTAATAATATGACTATTTTGCTATAATTAAAAGGTTTTTTTCGTCAAGATCTCGTCCAATTAATAAATAATGAAATGATGTATATATTTAACCAATAAATATTCAGAGAAATATGACAAACCTCAGCATATCCAAGAAGGAATCTAAGATCTGACTTTTCTTTCCAGCATCTTCCACTCGACTTTTTGGTTTATCCAGAGCTTTTTCTCCGGGCTTAAGAAGATGAGCTAAAGTTAATCCCAAAATACTAGCAAAGAGCGAGAGTAAAACGATGAACAAAACGGTGTAAGAAATTAATTTTCTATTTTCCGATTTACCCAAAGAAGTGATACCTGAAATAACGACAAGATTGCATGAAACGTCTCCTTTATTGTGAGGTAGGTAGGCAATTGTAAGTAAATAGATAGTTAGGATTGATAGTAGTTAATACTTCTAAACTAAATAATACAGTAACTTACCTAAAATAATACTGCAAGGAAGCATGGGCAAAATGATCATGCGAAAAGCTCTAATCACTAACATTCCCGGAAAACCGATTAATTGCTTTTCTTGCTCGTTTAAGTTAAACTGACGGAAAACCAGGCCAAGAGCGAATCCGGAAATTGTTGTTACAATTATTAAAACGGATATCCAATTCTGCTTCAAGCATTCCACTTTCTAGGAAATTTCAAAGAAAAAAAAGAAAAGGTGCATTGAATGAATGGATAAATGAATGAATGTCAAGAATAAAAATAGTATGTATATATTAAAATTACTATTTTTCTTAGTACAGCTGCACGTGTTTTCAAAATGAATCGAACTAAAAAAAATTCTTTTAAATTCGGAACAAATACGTTTTATTCAGTTAAAATGTAAATAAATGTAAAGAATTTCGTCATCTATAATTATTTTATATTTCATTATAATCCCAAAAAATTCAACTTAAAAAAATAGCTTAAAATTTTTTAAATAAAAATGCATATATTTGTTACTATTATTTTTTAAATTTAAAAGCATTATTTAATAGTAATTTTAAAAAAAAAAAGCGCAAAAATTTATAATCTAATTATTATTTTTTATCCATAAAGTAAGAAACACATAGATCTTATCGGGAGTGAAATTATAATAAAATTGATAAAATATATTAAACTATATAAAAAGCTCACCTTGAGACAACATTTTTGATCACTCTTCATTTTACTATTAAATTAATATCTTGAATTTTTTTGCTTTTATAACCGAGATCACGTGAATAACTGGTTATATTGACTAAGGAAATTGAGATGAGTAATATTGTTCCCGTAGTATATGATATTTCCTATACAGAAATTCGATTGAATGGTTGTAACGCTTGTGAAGTTTGAAACAAAACGGAGAGAAAGATGACGATTTCACCTAATTTATTCATTCGAGACGAGGAAAGTCATTATACGTATTTTGACCCTCAAAACGTAAATTTTCTTCTGTATTTTTCGCCCATTTCCTAAAAACGTTTTCCCTTTGGTATTCCACGAAAAATTTTCATATACATTTAAGAACCGGTTAACACGATTAATCATTGTTTATATTTTCTGATATGCCTTATAACTGGAAAACAATTACTAATAATGATATAACTTATCTGCTATCCATACTTTATGATATCATTATTGCCAAACTGTATTTAAATATAATACTTTGGAATTAATAATCTTGATTTTGGTGTTTTCTATAAATTGACACGTGGATTTTTCTCTCCCCCTTTTCTTTTTATATAAATTGAATTGCGGTTTTAATAAAGTTCTATTTTTAATCTGTTTTATAACAATGCACAATATGAAAATCTATTTTAAAATACGAATAAATTTAATATTATAATTAAATATATTGCACATTACTGTATACTTATTTTTATTTAATGC